CAGAGTAAAACCCTCGAGGAACAAGAAAATGTTATACCTCGAGATTATTTTCCGTATTTTTCGAGAGAGGTTCATTTGAAATTGGCAACCTTGAATCAGCCCTATGCTAACAATGTAAAAGCAACGTGAAACACAATAAATAAATACAATAAAAAAACAATTAAAAATGAAAGTGCTTTGGGATTCATTAAATTTGACACAGAACCAACTTAATATTCACAAAACACACATTTCATCTCCCTTTAGTACATTGTTTTTTTTTCATCAATTTAAATGAGATTAATAATCCATGCAGAGTATGTAATCGTTTCAAAATCATGAGTTGAAAAACGCTGACTCCGCAAGTTTCAATATTAGAGCCTAACACAGAGCGGAGCGGCGTGGGGCGTGCAAACGCGCTCTGGCACCTACAAACCTAAGTGGATACTTCACGCACTGCGCAATGCTTGAAGTATCCCCTTAGGTTTGTAGGCGCCAATGCGCGTTCCGCGCTGGCCGATCGCCCACCGCGTCGCACAATGCGGCATCCTTATGGACGATGCGGACAAAAATCGGTAAAAGACACTTAACTTTAAATTATGAGGCTAGTAGCACCGACATAGGAAAACCTTCGGCACTGTCAAAGTAAAACCCTCGAGGAACAAGAAAATGTTAAACCTTGGGATTTTTTGCGTATTTTTCGAGAGAAGTTCATTTGAATTTGGCAACCACGAATCAGCCCTATGTTAACAATGTAAAAGCAACGTGAAACACCCAAACTTTATCTTCGAATATTTCTGATAGTCGCAAAAAGTCGCAAAATCTTTTTGGTGGAATTGAAGTTGGATATGTGAGGATTAAGAAAATGTCAACCACACAATGCATTCTGCATGCGTTTCAAGCGCGAAATCTTCATTTGAAGATGTCGTCTTTTTCCTGCATATTTCCAATAGACCAGTGATTCTCGAACCATTTCCCGCCCACTTTTTACTCAAATTTGAGCTGATTTTGGGCGAAAAATTTGAAAATGAACCATCATTGTGAGTTAGAAATATCATTCAGATGACAAACTCGAAAAAAAATATTCAGATGTCCAGTAGGACGTATTTATGCTTAATGGAATTATGTGCACGTGGAAAGATGGGGTTTGCTCGTTAGAGATCGGGCCGTATGAATGAATGGGAAATATTAATCGCCAGTGACGTCAGCGTTGACGAAGCCGCCCGCCTCGGTCGCCCCGCGTGCGTTCGCATCAACTCATGAGCCCTGTGCACAAGGCGCTTGTCACATGTCCACGGCTCACGAGTTACCGCTAAGTGCCTTTTGATTTTTAAGGTGATTCGTCAAGCTCAAAAGAAGTGGTCGAACTGGTATGCGATATCGCATATTTTAGGTCAAAAATCTCGGCAGATTTTGAATTTTTAGCAAAACAAAGGACGATAGCCCCTGCGCATGAGCCTAAAGAATCGTTCTAAACCCAAAAATTGGCAAAATTCAGAGAAATGAAAGCAGGATAGTGTTTGGAAAAAAACCTCGCATTCGATTCAGCTATCGATTTCTGTACCAAATGCGAGTTTTTTTTCCAAACACTATCCTGCTTTCATTTCTCTGAATTTTTCCGGTTTTTAGGTTTGGAATGATTATTTAGGCTCATGTGCAGGGGCTACCGTCCATTTTTATGCTAAAAATTCAAAATATGCCGAGATTTTTTACCTAATCTATGCAATAAATGCCAGTTCGACCACGTCACTTGAGTTTGACGAATCACCTTAATGTCGAATCTCGCTTTTCCATTTTCTCAAAAGGAGCTATATCCACTCTTACATTGTTCCTTATGCAGCTTCCACGAGCACACCCCATCTTCCCGCTTCCACATAGTTCCTTTTGGCATAAATACGTCCAGTTGTGAATTTGTTATTTTTTTTATTTTTGTCCACTGTGCGGCGGGGGGGGAGGGGTGGCGCGGGGCACCGAAAAAGAAGGGGG